TGAAAATTACAGAACTGTCCATTCTCTGTAAGTGGGAAAACTTGAAAAATCGGCAGTGTATCAAATACTTATTTGCCCCACTGTACATGCACATTGAGAGCTGATGTACCAGAGTCAAATTCCTCGTGTGTCCGACACACCTGGCCAATAAAGCTGATTCTGATTAAGTAATTAGTATAGAAATGTCAGCTCACTTTCATGAAAGATGCATCTTTTAACTCTCTTTTAGGTAAATGAGTTAATGAATCCAGCGACCTGGTTGGATGCCGGTGCTCAGGTTTTTTATTCCTTCTCCTTGGCATTTGGAGGTCTCATCTCTTTCTCTAGTTACAACTCTATTCAGTGAGTAAAAGTCTCAGTTGCGCAGTCACAGAGGACCCTGCTGTTCAGCAGTTCTACTCACATGACCTCCCTTCATAATTTTCCTGTAGCAACAATTGTGAACAAGATGCTGTGCTCATCTCCATCATCAATGGCTGCACCTCAGTGTACTCTGCAACAGTTATCTACTCTATCATTGGCTTCAGGGCCACACAAAACTATGATGACTGCATGGGAGAGTGAGTTTAAAATTGGATAAAAGGAGTATTAAAACAAAGTAGAAGTGATGCACTTTTATCAGACTGATGTCATCTCTGTGTCCTTTTTTGCAGCAACATTTTGAAGTTGATGAACACCTTCAACTATCCCGAAAACAGCATTACTGACATTAACTACAGTGAGGTTCTGAATCACCTCAACCAGACAAAACCAGATATCATCCAAGGATTGCAACTGCAGCCCTGTGACATGGAGTTTTTTCTCAGTCAGGTCAGTAAAGAGCTTTAAAAATTTGTCAATTAACAGAACTAAAATGTAGGTTTAGTCGCACAGAAATGAGGTTCAGTGGTTAAAATATTTGACACTTATCTTTCAGGGCGTGGAGGGAACAGGCTTGGCTTTCATTGTGTTCACAGAGGCCATCATTAGGATGCCTATTTCTCCCCTCTGGGCTGTCCTCTTCTTCATCATGCTCTTCTGTCTTGGCCTCTCGACTATGTTCGGGAACATCGAGGGAGTGGTGGTTCCTTTGCAGGACCTCAAAGTCTTGCCCCATACCTGGCCCAAAGAAATTTTCTGCGGTAGGTCTAATTTTCTACAGACAGGTGACAAGTGAAAGGAAAAACCAGCATAAAGTGTCTTAGTTAGGTGTTGGGCCACCTTGTGCCACCAGAACAACTTAAGTCCACTTTAGTCTCTGAACTCTACTGGAGGGATGAACACCATTCATCCAACAGATATTCCCTCGTTTGGTGTTTTGATGATGGTACTGTACATGGAAAACACTGTGTAACACGTTGGTCCAGATTCGAATCTCCCATAGGTGAGATCACTCACCAAACCATTCAGTGACCCCTCATGCCCTATGGATGAATGCACTAGAAGAGACCACTCATTTATTCAGGTTTTTCCATTATTTTGTCACCTGTCTGTATAATTCATATTGAATATAACATACTATTTATATCTATATCTAGAGATGTGAGGGTAACCGTTTTTATTTGCATTCTTTTTTTCAGGTCTGACTTGTTTAATTTCTTTTGCTTTTGGGCTCATATTTGCTCTGCGCTCTGGAAATTACTGGCTAGCTCTTTTTGACAACTTTGCCGGCTCTATCCCACTTCTGGTCATCGGATTCTGTGAAATGATCTCTATTATCTACATCTATGGTGTAGATAGGTGAGTCTGTCAAGGAGGTGACATGGCTCTAGGGATGGCAGTGTCAGTCAGTCAGTGGTTCAGACTGCAACATCTCATATACTATTGCCACCATCACTTCAAAAGTTTTATTTGTCCAGTACTTTGGTTTATAACCATATGACTGGAAAACTACATCCCATCATCCCCAGCTACAGTATATTTGTATTTAGTGCTAACCGGAAAATGTTAGTGTCCTAGCACACTAAACTATGGTCATAGACATGATAACCATACTTGCTAAACAGCAGTCTGCTAGCATTGTCACTGTATGCTGACATTAGCATTATGTTCTACCACTGTGCCAAAGTACAGCCTCACAGAACTTTTGGTAGTCTTGTTACTGTATCATCATACTGTACATGCATGAAGCAGAGATAAGTGCTGAACAGGTCAATGTGGTCACTGATACTCCGTGAAGCAGACAGCAGGAAACAATAGTGCATTGTATTCTGACCTTGAAACAGAGATTACATATTGCAGTCATCACAGGAGAGATAAAGAAGTACAGAGTGTACAGTATCTTGTAATGTTGCAAAAATATGGTGGGGAATGTGGAATATGTGCATTTATTATCACTAATACAACAGCAGAGTTTCAAATAATACAGCAGCAAAAACCGTATTATAAGATGGGAAAAGTACAAACTATTGCATTATGTTACTGTATGTTTTTCATACCTTAATAAAGGACATAAGTATAGTAGCAGATCTGACTATTCTTTCCTCGAAGTTCAGTGCAGCATCAACAGGGTAACAGAAAATAAGTTGCTTTATTTACTAGAACTAATAAAAGAACAAGGTCATGTTTTATGGAGGCTTTCATATGCACTCAACATTATGTCTCCTTCTTATTGCATCCAAACAGGTTTAACAAGGACATTGAGTTTATGATCGGCCACAAACCCAATATTTTCTGGCAGGTGACATGGAGAGTGGTTAGCCCACTCATTATGATCTTCATTTTGGTGTTTTATTTTGTTACCCAAGTCTCAAAGAGTCTCACCTATTTGGTTTGGGACCAGGACTCGGTAAGTAGTTTAATTTTTGATAATAAAGTTTCAAGATGCAGGTTTTAGTAACACCCTAGATGCCTAGTCCTTTTTAGATGTGTTTCCCCAAAAATATTTTTATTACTGATGGTGGTAAAAGTCAGCTATGAGAAATTCACCACAGATTGCTTTTGCTTTTTTTTTTTTAAACAATGGCTATAAAACAAACCATTTTATCTCAGACCTCTTTGGTGTCATACACTGCAGTAAACTGTCACATTTTCTTTAACTCTGGTCATAGGCAAGCTTCCCCGCCCTTGAACCACGTCCATATCCTTCCTGGATCTATGTTATTATCTTCATCTTGGCTGGAGTTCCCACTTTAGCCATCCCAGTTGCTGCCCTCTTCAAATTCATCCAAAAGAAATGCTGCAAGCAAAAGGACTGCAAAAATGAACCACTGGACACAATCTCTGCCAAAATACAAATGAGTGACAAATGAAATTTTAGGTAGTTTTTTTTATTTTTTTATTTAATAAAACAATGAGTGAATGTGGACCTGTTTTATTGCTGTCAGTATGCTTATTGCTTTTGACTTCTTCATGCCCCGTACCGAAATAAAAGAGCACACTAGTGCCTACTGACTTTTATCTGTAAAAATACAAGTAAAGTATTTTTTTCTGTAAAGGATTTGTTTTGCAGAAGAGGGTCACTGCTCAAGTATTGAGTAATGCTTTTTGTCCTATAGTAAGATTAGCTTTCTGCTGTGTCACAGATGGAAAATTTGGGATTCGTGTTCATTTGCTACTGTATCTTGTCAAAAATTATTTGAGTCTGTGCATTAAATATGAAGCAACAATCAGCAGCCAGTTAGCTTAGCATCACACTGGAAACAAAGCAAAACAGCTAAACCGGCTGACAATAATAGCTGACAACCATGCTTATAACTGTAGTGGTTAAACAAACAAGCTACAGTTAATATGCAATATGTAATAGAATATAGTAAGAGTGTGTAGATTACATATAGTTAGTATATGCAGTCATCAATAACTAATTTCTGTAAGCCCTCTGTACTATGTCTGCTCACAAAATAGTTTGTGTGTGCTGAAGCAAAAACATTTTGGGTTCATGGCCTGTTTAACCCACTGGGTCATCCTGATCTGGAGATGACCTGTTAACTAGGTTTGGGAATTGGCCAGGAGAGCCAGAATGGAGCAGTGTACAAAAGGAGGCAGTATGCTGCTAGAGTAGAGTAGAGTAGTGTATGTGCGTGCAGAAGGACGTTTGAGTGAGACCCCGGCCGGGGGGACATGACGGACTTGACTGTGCTTATGACCTAAAAGAGACTGACTGACTCTGTGACAATCTTCTTGTCTAATACTGCATTTATTTCCTGCAGGAATGGTCACTTTGTCCCCTATCTCTTAGCCTGTTGAATTGTCTGCCAAACTATTGAACTGCCTTGAATTATTGTAATATTAAATTATCATTGTAATTGGAATGATTTGTCTGAATTAATTTAGCTCACATCAGGTCCTGGCCACCACATAACACACTGTATTTCATTTGCTTAATCCCACAAAAACAAAGAGTAAAACCTGGAGATGAACCCACCTGAAACTGGGCATGAGGCAGGATGCATCCTGGACAGGTCACTGGTCTATCACATAGAGACGGACAATCATTCATTGCTGTACAGACAATTTACAATTTAATCACCAGTCAACCTAACCTCCATGTCTTTTGACTATGGGAGGAAGCTGGATTACCTGGATAAAACCCACAAATGCAAACTTCGCACGGGAAGGCCTCAGTCAACCAGCAGATTTGAATCCAGAACCTTCTTCCTGTGAGGCAACAGTGCTAACCACTGCATCACCTTTCCACCCCCACAAAAAGCTGTAAGCATGTCTTACATTTTTAAAGATAAAAATTACTGCAATCGTGTCATCATTGTCTTTAAGCCAACCTTTGTGTTGTTTATAAGGTTTTTGGCATATTACACAAGGCTATTGTAAAGTTAAGGTGCAGCGCTCTAGCCACTGCGCCCTGGGTTCAAATCGCTTGCGTCAGGAAGGGCATCCGGCATAAAACACATGCCAAATGTCAACATGCGAGCCGTCAGTGTGACGATTCTCTGTGGCGACCCCTAAACAAGAAAAGCTGAAAATGACTTTCTTTCTTTATTGTAAAGTTTTAATATTAGGTTTCTAGAGGAAAGAGCTAAATGAAGTGATTACTATGTGAAGAAATATTTGCTTTTAAAACCACTTGTGAAATATAAGATCACTGGTGCTTTCAAGTATTTTGCCTGGTAAAGTATGAAAGGAGGCACACATTAGATTTTTATTTTCTTTAAAGAACCTTTGAAATTTACAGTAAAACTGCCCATTGTGACACTGACATACAGTATTGTGATTCTGAATAAATCCCTTTAAAATAAAACATTTAATAACAAATTGCCAAAGCAAGTATGATTCCTTCTCACCTTTGGCCCACAGAACACCATCCAGTCATTAAGATAACTGTCACTTTAAACAGTGGAAAAGTGCAATGGATAAAGTAGAAAATCATAAATATTGCTGAGCAGACACAATTAATGCTTCAGCTGTGCTGTAATGGACACTATTCAGTGCTTCATTGCAGTTGTCAGTCACAGTAATGTGACAATAACTAATTGTTATTAATTAATCCAATGAACACCTCCATAGAACATGCTGTGCTGATATCTGCACAGCTCAACACAATAATTAGACACACTTTGTCCAAAACCCACTTGTCAGCATAAAGGTTGAAATGCAGAGAGCTGAATTGTGACTTCCATCATTTTTTTAACCGACTCAAAGATTAGTCAACACAACTCTTACCTAATCTGGCCTGAGAAACTGACATCATCATTATGACCATACCAGCATGCTTATGTTAGGTCCCACGGTATAATGTTTACCATGCTCAGCAGCTTAGTTTAGAAAGTTTAAGACCCACAATACACCTGGGGCTAATGGAAATGTCATTTGCATTATTATGTAAATATTAGGTCATTAATAAAAGTATGTGACAAATTCAAATATTGACCCGATGATAGCACTAGATAAAAAGTCAGGGAATTGCCAAACAATTCATGCCAAGGGGAGTAACTACCAAATGTACCAAATGTCATGGAAATTCATGACATTTCGTAAACATCTGCACAATATTTCATGGCAATTCATTCAATGGTTGTTGAGCTATTTTAGTCCCAACCAAAATGGCCAACAGAACAATAGACACTGAAATCTAAAGTGCTAGTATAATATTAAGTCAGCAAATAAAAAAAAACTCATATTGTTTGTGTGAGCTCCTGAGATCATGAACTGTTCACCATTTGGTAAATGTTACTCATAGAGTAACTGTTAGGTTTTCTGAGACAGGAACCAAATGGAGACACAGAGTAGAGGTAACTTGACCAAAGAATAAGGTTTCAGAAGGCCAGAAGTGCAGGCAAACAGATGGACACTAGGACAAATTCAGATAAGGTAACAAGGTGAATAAGAGGCTGACAAAACACAGGCAACTGAATAGACAAAGCTAACTATGACAAAACAATAAAGTGAGGACAGTTACAGAAGCTATATAATATAGTAATATATTATGTATTACAGACAATAAACATGGGGATCAGGGCAGAGTACAGCAGGGACAGAGCTAAGACATCTGCAGGTAAAAAGTAGATGGACAAGGAGACACAGGCAGAGGATACCAGACGAGGACCAGACAATAGCAGATAACAGGTGAGGGCAAAACACAAATGGACTGGAACATTTTTTTGGACTATCTGACACTGTTTTAAATTGGTTCAAATCATATCTTCAGGACAGGAACTACTTTGTCTCTATTGGTGAACATAAATTTGAGTAAATTAATGCACTATGTGGAATCAGTCAACGTTCAGCTTTTGTACCGTGATTGTTTAACTTGTATATGCTTCCTCTGGGTGACATCATACAAGATAATACTTCATATCACAGTTGGAGATGATATGCAGATTTATTTAGCTCTTACTTCAAATGATTATGGTCATTTGGACACACTCAATTGGTGCTTAGAGGAAAAGAATAACTGGAGGAAAATTAATTTGCTCCAGTTAAATAAAGAGGATATTGTTTTTGGTAACAAAAATGAAAGACAGAAACTTGCTGCTCAAGTTGAATCTGGATCTCTCAAAACAGAAAGTCTGGTAAGAAATCTCAGTGTCCAAATTTACACTGATCTTAACTGTAGGAGTCATGTTCAATCTAAAACTAAACTAAAACTGCCTACTTTTATTTTAAGCAAATATCCAGACTCGGTTGGCTTCATGTCCAGAGAAGGCTTTAAAAAAAATTACTCATGGCTTTATTCCCAGCAGAACAGATTACTGTAATGGTCTACTGTCAGAATGCTGCAGCCAGGGTTTTAACTAAAACTACATTAAGGGAACTGAGCACATCACTCCTGTTCTAAAATCTTTACACTGGCTCCAGGTTTCTCTTAGAATTGATTTCAAAGTGCTGCAATTAGGATATAAGTAACTCAATGGTCTGGGACCACAGAATCTACCATTCTGGTAGATTGGGGCTGGTAGATCTGGGTTTGTGGTCCCAGAATGGTAGATTCTGGGACCACAGAATCATGCCTCCCTCTCGCACAGTGTATATATTTTGCCTACAACTTGATGTGTGGCAATATTATTGAAGACATAAACTTGGGAATATACAACGTGTAAGAACAAAGCAAGAAATAATAAAGGTCCTAAACTAGATTTTGATGCAAGGAACTTCTTCACGGTGGGGCGTTAAGATTACATAATAAAGCAGAACCCACCTTAAAGGCCTTATCATCTCAGCTGACATTGTGTTTTAGTACTGAATACCAAACAAAGCTGCAAATAAATGAGTACAACCAGTTATCCTAAAGTAAAGTTTTCATCTTAGCCTCTCTGGTGATGGCTTTTCAGTACACTCAGTGAGTGACTGCCTCAGCTGTAAAGTTAGAGGCACTTTGGTGAACACCCTTGTCAACAGCGCTCTTCATATGATCCCCCTTCATAATATTCTTGGAGCAACAACTGTCAGCTACACTGAACGTACAAAAATAGAAGTGCAGAGTATCCACTAGCTCATATAGATTGCACAAGATTATAAACATGTCTCTAACTTGCAGAGTGCATACACCAAGCCCTCACTTTGACATCCATTAACAATAGTGTTAATATCTTTGCTTTAGTGGATTCACAATGAGAGGGGTACTTCCTAACCCAGGACTGGATCACCGGATCCCTAACCACGAGGACCTGGACAGAATGGAGAAGGAGGAATCTGGTGACAGGCCTAAGTGGGACAACAAAGCCCAGTACATCCTAACTTGTGTGGGCTTCTGCATTGGCATTGGTAACGTGTGGCGATTCCCCTACCTATGTCAAAGTCATGGAGGAGGTAAGTAAAAATGTTATGGGAAGTTTAATGCTCAAGATGTCCATGGACATGAATATAGATTGAGCTTCCCCAAAATATCCTAAATTACTTTATTTTTCTCTCTTTCAGATTTACATTCCTATAGCAGTATTATATAAGCACTTGTGGAGAGTAACAAATTACATTTACTTAAGTATGGTACAGTATTTAAATATAAATATGAGGTACTTGTACTTGTGTATTATCTTTTCATGCCTTTATACATTTATTACACTACATTTCATTTGCAAAAACTACTATTTTTTTACTCCACTAAAATCAGTTTGACAGCTTCAGTTACTAGTTAAAAACATACATTTATGCATAAAAAACATATTGAGTTTATAAATTATAATATAAAAATGACAAACGTTTTTATGGTTCCAGCTTCTGACACATGAGGATTTAGGTGTCAGTTCTCTTTCTTGAATTGCAATGCGCTTTTCCCTCTCCCTATAATTCTCAGAATATTTACAAGTCAAACAATCTTAATCCAGAAAGCAATCAGGAAATCATTAAGAAAGATCATTAAGATCATTAAGAAAAATATGTGCAGTCATTTCTTGCAGTCCTTGCTCCACCTCAGCCAAGTACAACAGCAAAACCCTGATTACATATTGACTAAAGTAATCTAATCATATAACACATAATAGTCAACAATTGCAAATTTTCTGCATTGCATTTTCTGCATACTTTTACTTTTAATATTTATATTATGCAATATTTTCCCAATTACTTCTAAATATATATTGTTTTACAGTATTTTTACAGTACAGTATTACTACTGTAGGGGGGCAGCTGTGGCTCAGGAGATAGAATGGGTCATTTCCTAATCGGAGGATTAGTGGTTTGATTCCCGGCTTGCCCAGTGAACATGTCAAAGTGTCCTTGAGCAAGACACTGAACCCTGAGTTGCTCCCGGTGATAACACCGGTGTGTGAGTGTTTGGGAGTGCGAATGGGTAAATGGCCAAGTAGTGTGAAAGTGCTTTGAGTGTGGTGTAAAGCACACTCAAAAGTGCTATACGGTACAAGTATAAGACCATTTACTTTTAAGTAGTAAAAAATCTGAAGACTTTATATACCACTGTTCTGTTGTGAAGCACTTTGAGCTCCCTTCAGTGTTGTAAAGCACTATATAAACAAATAAATTATAATTATTATTACCACTTAATACTAGTGTGGTTCTTGCAAGAGTTCCAAAAGGCCAGAGATGATCCTAGACATCTGAACTGTGAATACTTTCACTTAAAAAAGTCACTAGTCTTTGATACATTAATTTTGTTTCATTTCAAAAGTGGCAGTGCCAACTGAGTGATAATGCATTTCCAATATTGCATATTCAGCCTCAGGTGAATAACACGGCATGATGCCAATATTTTAAAGATCTAAAAGGGAATCTACTCATTTTCTCTGATTTTCTCTGATTTTTTTAACTGGATGTTAAAGCTCTTATCCAGTGTTTACATCACAGATTGTGAAAGAGGGAAACTCCATGTTTGCAACTTGAGAGTGATCATCTATTTGGAAACCTGGCTTTGTTGAGGTTAAAAGTAAAGCACAAGAAAGTAGAATATACAGTAACACTAAATCTATTACATTGTTTATTGGATTTTGCCTGACATGAGTTGTTTTCCGTCACTACAGTATTATAAAACTGATATGAGTAAGCAAAAAAAAAAAAAAAAATCACATTTTACCAGCTCTAGGATCTTGACATAAATGCCATTTACAAATGAGAAACTACAATTAAAATGTATATTGTATGAATGCAGCAGTAGAGCCACAGTTTGTTATAAATTGTGTACTTAGTTTGACAATCCATATGCTCATATTTAGTGTACATACATACTATACATACAGACTTTCACACAGTATATGAGAGCAAATTTAGTTTGGGGAATATTTTAAGGGATTTTTTTTTTCAATAAACCACACAGATAAAGAAAGCAGTGTGAGAAGTATGCCAGGAGGCCAGAAATGAGAGAGAGGCAGAATGCCCAGGTAGGCCGCCCTTTATGCACTCAAAGACCCTGCACAAAGGTCACATTTACACAAAAACAACCCAGCCAATCGACCTCAATAGGTGACTACTGTAGCTGAGCAAAGAGGTGGGCTGGTGGAGTGGGTGGAGTTGTCACAAGGGTCATGAATGTTTTTAAACACTGTTCACAGGCAGGGCCCTGTAGGAATGCCTTACAGCTCAGAATAAACCTTAAAGTCAATGGCATATTTTTATTTTTCCTGAAGCCAACGGAAATTCTGTTGTTCACTGATGGCCTGGTAGAGTTCATCTAGTGCTTCACTCCTATTGCTGGTGTTAGCAGTAGGAGGAATGTATGCAGTTATCAACAGAATTACTGAGTACTCCCTACATAATTAGAAAGGCCGACACTTGATGATAATAAACTCCACCAATGGAACACAGTGTTTATTAACAATAGCAGCATCCCGACACCAAGCATCGCTGATGTAAACACAAACTCCCCCTCCATGCATTTTACATCCTTCCACAAGGACTCAGTCAGCTTGGTAGCATGTTAGCGCCGGTAGCCTCATGATGCACAGATCTCAGGAGCTGTATATGATCTATTTTGTCGTCCAGTGAGTGTACATTGGCCATATTGAGGGATGGTATTGCGGGTCTGTGTGGGCTAGCTGCTAGCCTAGCATGGATGCCTCCACATTTACGCCGCTTCTGTTTTCACTCACAACGCTTCCGATGCCTCCTCTCAGGAGGTGATGCAACTGGCATGTCCGGTGATGTCAGAATCCGGCGGAGAAGAGATGTAGTGCAGTAAAAGTACACAATGTGCCTCTAAAATGTAGTGAAGTCATAGTATGAAGTAGCACAAAGTAGCAGGAAAAAAAATACTCAAGTAAAGTGCAGATACCTCAAAATTGTTCTTAGGTACAGTATTTGAGTTAATGTACTTAGTTACTTTTCACCACTGTCTCCATCAATAAGGCTACACAAAAGCTGGTTTGAATAACAGGCATTTGACCACTTGGAGTTTACCAGAGGTATTTTGAAGAACTCAGAGCATGAGAACAAAGATTCTCTGGTCTGATGGAACAAAACATGAATGCTTTGGGCAGAACTCCAAGCACCATGACTAGTGAACAGCCGGCACTGCATACCACCTGGTTAATACCGTCCCTACCTTGAAGCATGGTGGTGGCAGTGTCATACTATGTGGTTGCCTGTCAGCAGCAAAAACAGGAAGCCTGGTCAGAACTGAGGGAAGCATGAATGCAGCCAAATACAAAGGTCTTTGAAGAAAACCTGCTTCATAGTGTAGTGACCTGACACTGGGGCAATGTTCAACTTTCAGCACAACAATGATCTGAAGCATACATCCAAGACAACACTGGAGTGTCTTCAGGACAAGTCTATGACTGTCAATGAGTAGCCCAGACAAATAGCAGACAGAAACCCATAAACATTTGTTGAGGGACCTGAATATGGCAGTTCACAAATGCTTCCCATCCAGTCTGAAAGAGCTTGAGAGGGTTTTCAGTAACAGAAAGAATGAAATAAACTGCCTAAATTCCAGTGTGCAAAGCTTGTAGAGACTAACCTAAGAACACTCACACTGTAATTTCTGGTGCTTCTACAAAGTACTGAATTAAGGTTCTGAATAATTTTGTAAATATCATTTACAAAATTTATTGGCGATTAACAGGCAAAAAGTACCTCTTATTGTATGATCGACAAAAATGTCAATTTTGACCCTTTAAAATTACATCAACAACACAATGAAGTGTGCAAAAAATGAAGGAGTCAACTTCCTGAAGCCATTGTACATTTTCCAGGTGCCTTTTTGATTCCCTACCTGATCCTGCTAGTGCTGGAGGGAATGCCTCTCCTGCTGCTGGAGTTTGCAATTGGCCAGCGTCTCAGGAAAGGCAGTGTGGGAGTGTGGCGGGCCATCAGCCCCTATCTGACTGGTATTGGTAAGAAAAACTGACTCCACAACAGTCTGTCCAAAGCAGAGGCAAAAGAACAACCTCTTTACAGCACAGCAACACAAAGAATACAGTATCTGGCCTCCTGTTTGTGTGGTTATCATAGTGAGTGATGTTGTCCCTCAGGCATAGCCTCCATGCTGGTGTCCTTTCTGATTGGACTGTACTATAACACCTTAATAGCCTGGATCATGTGGTACCTCTTCAATTCCTTTCAAGACCCACTGCCATGGACCCAGTGTCCTCTCAGTAACAATGGGACAGGTATTTGGAATTACATACATGTACTCAAGCAAATTAAGTACCCTACTTGTGATTAAAAAATTTGCAGAGGACTGTTTCTTGCTCCTGCAGAATTTGTACCAGAGTGTCAGCAGAGCTCCACAGTGGAATACTATTTTTACAGAGTGACCCTGAATAGTTCAGCCTCCATATCTGACTCTGGGGGTATCCACTGGCCCATAGCAGTCTGCCTATTAGGTGCCTGGACAGTCATCGCTATCTGCTACATACGGGGGATCAGGACGTCGGGCAAGGTTTGTTGTAAATGCTGTCAAGTGCTATGCATTACTGAATCACCATTAGCAATATTATTTTACATTTTTATATCCTGTTTATGTCCTCAGGCAGTGTACATCACATCCATCCTGCCTTACATAGTACTGGCCATCTTCCTCATCCGAGGACTGGTTCTTAAAGGCGCCCTGAGTGGAATAAAGTTTCTCTACACACCAGCTGTATGTTTAAAATCATCACTGTTAAGCATACACACACACACACACAACACACCACATCATATATGCCTCAATCTCACAGGTGGAAGAACTGCTAAAACCATCAACTTGGCTGGATGCAGGTGCCCAGGTCTTTTATGCCTTAAGCATAGCATGGGGAGGCCTCATCTCCTTCTCAAGCTACAACCCCATTCAGTAAGAGACATTTAGAAGACCTATTGTGTTTTATAACCACACAGCAGTTCAAGCCTAACTTTTAAAAATGCCAATGTCATACATGATGTCTCCTGAACTTTTTATCTGTTTTTTTTTTCCAAGCAACAACTGTATGCAAGATGCTGTGATTCTGTCTGCTGTAACTGGCCTCACCTCAGTCTATGCTGCCACAGTCACCTACACCATCATTGGCTTCATGGCCACAGACAAATATGATCATTGTATCAGTGAGTGAGTAGTCACAGGATGTGGGTAATCCTAAAAGTATATTCCCATTTATTCTGCATTTTAAATCAAAATGTAAAGTTAAACTCAACTTTTAATTCTGATAATTTGAGAAACAAAAAGTTGATTTTCTACGCAGAACTCAAATTCGTCACCATTTTGATGGGGTCACTGTTTTGAAACATTGATTCAAGTAATCCAGAGTTACTAACCAGTGACATGTTTTGTTCCTAGAAACATTATGACATTATTAAATGTATTTGATCTTCCTGAAGAAAGCATCACTATAAGAAACTATGAGGCAGTGTTCAGTCACCTCAACAGCTCCTATCCTGATATTGTTCTTGGACTAAACATCAAAACCTGTGACATGCAGAAATATCTCAGTGAGGTAACTATATCACTGAATTAGGCTCAGATTGCTGAGTTATTTTTATTTTGTACCCTAACATGCATTGTGTTTGTTCAGGGAGTGGAGGGAACAGGTCTGGCCTTTATTGTGTTTACAGAAGCCATCACCAAGATGCCTGGTTCTCCAGCCTGGTCTGTTCTCTTTTTCATCATGCTTCTCTGCTTGGGGCTCTCAACCCTGTTTGGCAACATTGAAGGAGTGGTGGTCCCCTTGAAAGATCTGAATGTGTTTCCAAAAAAATGGCCCCAAGAAGCACTGACTGGTAAAGCTGAAACACTATACACATCAGCTTTGCAGCCCCATATGAATTAATTGTCTGGCTTCTGTCTGAACACAATTTCCCTTGTTTTTGTGTATGCTGTGTTTCAGTAACAACATGTGTCGTCGCCTTCATCATCTCCCTCCTGTTTGCACAACATTCAGGGATTTATTGGGTAACTCTGTTTGACAACTTTGCTGGATCTATTCCACTTCTGACAATTGGATTATTTGAGATGATAGCTGTTGTTTACATCTACGGCATAGACAGGTTAGTGCACTAAATTGCTGAACAGCCTACTGTGAAATTACCACATATTTGTGCTCCATTCTAAAAATGAATGTTTGAACAGGCAGTCGTCAAGCTGTACCTGTTACTGAGCAAAACTGTATGCACATGGCAGAAATCCCTTGATGAAATTTTTGTGATAATATTAGTTGTCCATTTTATGCATTTAGCTGTGCTAAACAATATTTTTAGAGTGACAATGGGAAACAACTATGTATGATGTGAAAGGGGTCAGTGGTAGTGGTAAACCAATATACGTTTAACTATCACCCACGTTGTAGTTCCACTTTACTCTCCACATTGGTATGCTTTTACACCTCACACCTTCTGTTTCATTGGTATCCTATCTATTTTATTTAGTCTGTGATACATGTTTTGCATGTACCTGTATGGTTTGTTTTGTATGTGATGCTACAGTATCTTGGCCAGGACAGCCCTGTCAAACAGATTGCTGTCTCAGTGAGGAATTCTCCTGATTAAATAGTTGTATATTATAATCTAGTTAAAACCTACTTCTGTTGCAGGTTCAATGCAGACTTGGAGTTCATGATTGGACATAAGCCCTCCATCTTCTGGCAGGTTTTGTGGAGGTTCATCAGCCCTCTAATTATCCTTGTTATCTTAGTTTTCTACCTGGTTGGCCTAGCCCAGGAGGAGCTCACCTATTTAGTCTGGGACCTCAACTCTGTAAGCATGTCATGACACTAGCGTGTGTTCATTCATTTTGGGGTGTATCAGATCTCAGTGTCAGCATTAATCCTTTTTTTTAACATCCTTCATCAAAAAATAGACAAATTCACAATATCATAAAACATATTTATGGTAAACACTGTTGATAGTACAACACATAACGGTAATGTTGGTGCTAATCATGCTGTTTTGTGGTTTACAGGAGGAGTTTCCATATCTGTCACTGGTATCATACCCTGCATGGATCAATGCTATCATCTTTCTCTTGGCAGGAGTCCCCACACTGGCAGTGCCTGTATATGCTTTATGTAGACTGGTTTTTGTTTGCTGTAAAAGAAAACATGTATCCAGAGACAAATAAAATACATTATTTAATCTGTTTCAGCGCTTTATTTAAATATATACACACGTACACATTGTTTTGTTTATTAACATTGCTTGTTTGTGAGATTTGGGCTAACTTTATATTGTATTATTGATTTGTTTTTGGACTCTGTGGCACTGCGTTGGGACAATTGTGTGGGGGTAACAACTGATGGCGCAGCTTCCATGACTGGGAAAAACTCAGGAGTTGTGAAAAAAATCCTGGAGAGAGCGCTGAATGAGACATGGACTCACTGCTTTCTTCACCGAGAAGCACTTGTGGCTAAGGATATCGTGCCAGAGCTTGATACAACACTGAAAGATGCCATAAAAATAGTGAACTACATTAAATGGAGCGCCAAGGACAGCTGCTGTTTCACACAGCTGTGCAAAGACCTGGGATCAGAGCGCGTCCAGTTGTTGTATCGTTCAGAAGTTTGCTGGCTTTCGAGAGGAAAGGTAATGTCACGCTTTTACGAACTTAAACATGAAATCACTGCCTTCCTCTCACACAATAACTCTCTGTACACTGACATGCTCAGTGATGAACTCTGGCTCTTGCACGTGGCGTATCTTGCCGATGTGTTCGAGCACCTCAACACTTTAAACGTGTCTATGCAGGGGAGAGGACACATCTTTGAATAAACTGGCAGTCACTGTCTTCAAAAATAAGTTGAGGTTGTGGATAAATCACTGACTAAAAACAGACTTGACATGTTTCCCAACACTTGCCACGCAGCACGAGAGCTAAATACAGTGGCCAAAAATGCCCTGAAAATTATCTATCTATCACTGTGCATCTGACCAGTCTACACACTTGCTTTGAGGACTGCTTTCCAGAGAAACACGATAGTCACTGGATAAGAGATCCCTTTGGAATTGACATGGAAAGCGTTGTGTTGCCAAGCAGCAAGGAGAATCAGCTGGTCAAGCTGCCATGTGACCAGATGCTGAGAAAGAAATTTGATAAGGTACGGCTCCCCCATTTCTGGTGCAAATACGTGATGTCTGAATATCCCTCCCTCACTACATTGGCAGTCAAAGCAATCCTACTGTTCACAACAACCTATCTGTGTTAAAGTGGCTTCTCCACTTTGGTACAGCTCAAGTCAAAGCGAAGGAACAGCTTGGACACTGAACATGATCTGGGAGTAGCTCTGTCTACTATCAGCCCAGACATTGAAACTGTTGTCAGAACTAAAGGACAACTACAGCTATCTCATTAGTTCACTGTAAACTTGTTTATAAAAGTGATTCAGAGCGTTCACAAATTATTCAGTGTTCACCTGAGTATAAACACAGTGTAACCTGAACTAAACAGTTCACATGAATTATCATGAGCTTTACTCATGAGCTTCGTGTCTACTGCACTAGCCGTTAGCAGCCTATTGTAGTGTGTCGCTAGCTGTTAGCATGATCCAACTCCTTTGTGCTGTACTGCGCATGCTAATGCAGCTAATTAGCCGTGACTTGCTTATAAAAGCGATTCAGACCATTCACAAATTATTCAGTGTTCACCTGCCTGAGTATAAACACAGTGTAACCTGAACTAAACAGTTCACATGAATTATCATGAGCTTTACTCATGAGCTTCGTGTCTACTGCGCTAGCATGAACAGCGTATTATAGTGCTATGAGGAAGTGAGCTAATGTCTCCTGCAAAATAAATTGATATAAGTTTACCTTGCGATGGTTCCGTTCTGATATAATCCTTCTTTGGTCAGGCTTCATCAGAAAAGTACAACATGTTTGGGGAAAAAAGCATTAAGTTGCTGTCTAGCAGAGCAAGTTCTCTGTGTTTGAAAGAACAGCCGCATTGACACAGTATTCACCGCAGAGCGTGTGAATGGTGTGAATGAATAGCGGTTTGCTATCGGCGCACCCACTGCAATGTAAAAAACCTCCTGGTCAACAATTGACAATTGAAGAAAAACTATAAGTCCTATGGAAACAATTTCTTCATAGTGAGCAGCAGGAGGCTTCAACAAAAAAGCTGATCACCTTGTTGGACTCAACCGTCCTGCATGTTCGTTTCTGAGGAAGAGTTGAAGTCAGAACAACCTTTAAAATATTTATTACAATGTTAAAGAAAAGCAATCACAGAGCGCTCTGGGTTCCAACTATTCTGAAGCCCTTTCCAAACAACACAGGTGTGCCTCGGTCTTTCTTCAGAAAAGAGGAGCCCCTATACTTCCTGAACCCAGTAATGTGTACAATTTTTGAATGTAGCTAGATCTGACTCCATCCGTGTTGCTCTTCATCCTCATTCCTTATTTGGTTCATTCGACCTCATTCTGACCCCTCATTGGTGTTTCCTGTTGCCAGGCAGATTGGATCTGTGAATTCTGAGAACAACATTCTGACCTTCTGCAACAGACATTACACATCCTACACATGTCTACAACAGTTAGTCATTGTTAGCAGTTAGGGATAGCACCTCTGACTCCTGCAGGAAGCTCATGTCTTATCTACCCTTGAGACAGGCGACCGATTGCAGGTTGGTATGCAACCTGACCTTGTTCCTGCTTGTGGTTTTCCTTTCTGATACTTACAGCCTGCACCTGTTCTGTTATTATCAGCTCTGGGTCTCCTGCATTCTCAAAGACAAGTGAAATGGTTAAATGAAAGGCAATTATAAAGCATATGATACTGAAATAAACATGTAAATATTATTTGCTAATGCAGATTATAATGTTGATTATAGAAGGCTAAACATAAAAGAACTTTTTACCCAACTCACAACTCTCTTGCAGACAGTTTTGTCATCTCAGAAATCATAGTCTGTACCTGGCTTCTCATTTTTTGTTTCCTGTTGATCCGAGTCTCCTCACTTTAACACACACTCACACACAGCATTTCAAGTGCATAGGTTAAGTCATTGTAAAGGTTAAGCTGGTTAAACAATCTTTAAAGCAGTTTTGCAAATACATAACATGGCACTATATTATTCTGTCAAGAATTTCTTTCTACAAACCTCTATGTCAAGATATTCCAGAAAATTAAGAAGCAGTGGTGATTTACAAATGCCATAACTTTTGTTTTGAAGGGATATTCTGAATCGTTTTTTCCAATGGCCGTCTATGGCACAATGAGAGAGCACTCTCTCTGGAATGTGCAATGTTGGGCAAATACTGTACATCCCATCCCAATAACAATGGCATAGATAGACTGTGACAATTTTCTCTATAATTTTCATCCATTATATTATAAGGATGGCAGAATAAGAGCAGAAAAACGGGCAAGAAATTGTCAATGGAGCTATTCAAAGTGAATGGAGAAATACACAAGCACTAGAGCTAAATACAGCTGAACTTCTCAATAGATGAATAGAGTTGAAATGGCATTTCTAGCCCAAGGTGTGCCAGAGATGTTAAGGTTCAAATTTTCCCATGAGAAAGGGAAATGTTTTGTGCAAAAATGCTGAATTTATTAAAAAGTATAAATGTTACAAAAAAGATGAGGACAAGCAAGCATGTCCTTGAAAAGCTGAAATCAATTGTTGAAACAGCTGAAGGATGAGAAGAAATGGCTGAAGTTCTTTCTTGAAATAGTTGAGAAGAAATGGCTGAAGTTTTTTGTTGAATAATCTGAAGGATGAGATGTAAAAAATACAAGCTGGAATGTCCTTGAAGAGCTGAACATTTTGATACCTGAATGGCTTTTCTAGCTGAAAGTATTGTGAACTCATTAAGATGTGACAATTTTTCCTTCTGGTCCTCACAAAGTAGGTAAAACCAGTAGGTATGTAGGTGTGTGTGTGTGTGTGTGAGAGAGAAAGTAGTCCTAGAGTGTGGCTATTGAAATGAAACATAAAATGTAAACATCAAGTATACAAAAACCATAAAAAATATCAAAAAGCTGTTTACAGTATGAATAGCTGAAGAATTGCCAATTGACAGTTGACATGGTGTTTCTATCTGAAAGTATGCTTCTGAAGAGAAACATGAATGTCCTTGAAGAGCTGAACATTTTAATAGCTGAAATAGCTGAAAGTATGCTGAAGTAGAATTATCCCCTTCAAACCTTTGAAAAAATCAACTGGACTTAGATTAAGTTTAGAAAAATTCTGAATAGAAGCATGTATGTCCTTGAACAGCTGAACATTTTGACAGCTGAGAAAGCTGAAAATATGCTGAAGTAGAATTTCCCCATTCATTTCAATGGGGCATGATTTTCAAAATAAAGCTAAAAATTTCAAACTATGAAGTTTAGAAAAATTCTGAATAAAAGCATGAATGTCCTTGAAGAGATGAACATTGTGATAGCTGAAAGTATGCAGAAGTAAAAATTTCCCCATTCATTTGAATGGGGCAAGATTTTCAAAATAAAGCTAAATATTTCAAGAGTATGAAATTTTGAAAAATACTGAATAAAAGCATGAATGTCCTTGAAGAGCTGAACATTTTGATACCTAAAATAGCTGAAAGTATGCTGAAGAAGAATTTTCCAATTCATTTGAATGGGGTAAAATTTTTAAAATAAAGCTAAATATTTCAAAAGTATGAAGTTTAGAAAAATTCTGAAGAGAAGCATGAATGTCCTTGAAGACCTGAACATTTTCATAGCTGAAAGTATGCTGAAGTTGAATTTCCCCATTCAAATGAATGGGGCAAAATTGTCAGAATAAATGCTGAATATTTTCAAAAGCATGAAAGTTGAAAAAAACCTTGCCTATACACCATAATGTCCTGAAAAGGCTAAACATTTTGATACCAGAATGGCTTTTCTAGCATGAAAATATACTGAACTTATTAAGATGTGAACATTTTGCTATTGGTCCCCGCATAGTAGGTAAAAGAAGTAGTGTTGTGTGTGTGTGTGTGTGTGTGTGTGTGTGTGTGTGTGTGTGTGTGTGTGTGTGTGTGTGTGTGTGTGTGTGTGTG